AAAAATAGAAATCGATTAAACCTTGTCACTCCAGTGGGTCTAAAACTGACCGTATGGTGAAAGAAAGAAAACTAAATCGTTTGTTTCAATTAATTAGCACAAGGGTGTACCTTGTAAAGTAAATACCATTGATTTGCATAAGTCTCACGTCTATTTAAAACGCTTTCGGCCAGTGTATTGAATTCATGTATTGCAACATAATGAAAGAGGTGTCTAATGTAATGATGAGTTTGGATTTTAGCAACACACGATCGTATATTTTCTTGCTATAGTTGGAAAGTTATTGTTTATAAAATTTAAATTCAATGTCCAAAATTCTCATTGCAATAAAATGAAGATTGAATTAAAAAGTTTTCATTATGTTGTCCAAGTAATATTTGTTCATTCCATTTGGCAATTGTTCATTTGGTAAGATAAAATATATAATTGTAAATATGTCAACAATATTTGAGCGGACAATTAAAAAAAGAAAGTTTGTAAAATATATATTCGAAGAAGTGGATTAAGAGATTACTTGAAGCAAATGAAAAGACAAGAAAGAAAAATGGAATAAATGGGAAAAGTATTTTATTTAACTTATTTAAGAAATGATTTGGTTAATATCGTAGGTAGTCTGCTAGAAACTGTTAAAAAACGTGTGTGCTAATATTCAGGATCGTGCCAGACTCGCTCTGGATAGGGGAAACTTTATCTTCAAAAATTTATGAAAATACATTTCTGTGTTAACTATGTTGACATAGATGGTCATGGTAATATTAACAGTTTCCTTGTAGGGAAACATTCTGCATTCCTACAACTAAAGATAATACGACGATGGGTTAAAATTTATATAATTGTTTTTATTTAAACAACTTTTTAGTCGAATAGGTTTCTCAAATCCAGGAAATCTTATTGCTCTTTTTAGTACAAATAGGAACTTTCTTCTTAACCATTTGTATGAAGATAGGTGAAACGTTATGATATTGATTATATCATAGTTTTCTGTTCGAGTTAAATGCGCTATTTTAGTTGACGATGTTGTTAAAAGTGACTGTTAATGTGGCTTCTGTTATTTCAAATTTTCGAATCTTGGCTTTATGTTGAATGATATTTATATCCAACTTTTATTAAGTTTGTCAAATTTCATTATATTTCATAAAACAACTTATGTGGGAATTTGAAAGAAAGAAAACTTGGATAGACATAACTTAATATTATTTAACAATACATATTTGAGAGAAACCTTACGGCCTCAATACATCTTACAGACACACACAGACGCACACACACAAACACACACACACACATATATATATATATAGGCTGCGATGGGTAATTTTTCGCCAATTTATTTTTTCTAATTTTGCGCATGCGCATTGTTTATCTTATTTTTGACGACTGATAGGGATAGTTGAGCAAACGTCTGTGAAAAAAACAGCAACATGATGACGCAATTCAGTCGGCCAGAAATTTAGAAACAACTTGCTGCACTGCTTGACATTCACACCGGAAGTTCTAATACGAACATTTCAGAGTGTTTGGGTGTCAATCTTAGGACAGTGCAGAGGATTCAGAAAGAGTTGGATGAGCCTAATGGAGATTACGAAGGTACGGCAGGTCTGATCGTTCTGATAAGAAAATAACTCCCTAATTTTTGGTGAGGGGCTAAAATTCAACACGGTGGAATACATCAGGTGCCTTGAGGACGTAGTGCTGCACTGGGTCAAGAGGGTGGCTGCTAGAAAACCCTATGTCTGGCAATAATACTCTGTATACACCCCTTATCACCTGGCTAACTAACCCCCTAGACTTCAACCCTCTTGATTATCATGTGTGGGGCGCAGATGAGCGAGAGACCAACAAAACTCCTTGTAACATCAAAGATGAACAAATCAAGCATTATGCCAGTATTCACCAACTTAAACTAAGAGTCCGCCCAGAAGAGTTGAAGAAGATTCCGAAGTCGTCTAGAGGCTATGGTTGAAGCCAAAGGCGATTTTATGGAATAAATTTACTCTTTAGTATTTCACTATATTTTTATGCAATTTTGGTAAATACAGTGGCCTAAGAAAGTTTTTTTTTTAAACTACATCCAATTTCAAAATTTAATTACGTAATCCCTATTCAACATAAACAAACAGTATTTGGAACTAGTATGGAGTAGATCCTCCATTTCACACTTTCAGTGCTTGTATTCGATTTTTCATGGATTTGATCAAGTTATCAAAATCATCTGATTCATATTTTGTCACTCCTTTAGCAATGTTTCTTTAAGGGTTGCCACTGATGTGATTTGGTTGCACGCTCTCGAAGTTTTCGCTGAAGGTGTTCTCAGACGTCCTCTATTGGATTCATGTCAAGACTTTGGGCTACCCATAGCAGTAACTTGATTCCTTGCGATTTCTTCCAGGCCTTTGCTACTTTGCTTGTATGACATAGCGCTCCATTTTTTTTTTGAAAAAGGTAGACGTTCTTCTCAATCTGATTGGTTCTGAAATACTGGGAGTAGTCCTTTCTCTAATATTTGACAGTATTTTGGATCATTCATCCGCTCGTCATCAAGAATCACTCCAGACCAGACAGCGCCCCAAACCATTACTCCAATTTCTCGATGTGTCACGGTTTCCTGCAGACATTCAGTGTTCAAAGTCTCATTCTGATTTCTCCAAACATAAACCTGTCTCGAATTCGAATATTGGCAGAATTTACTTTCATCTGTCCAAATTACAGACTGCCAAAATTCATAATCTTTGATCTCTAATTCTCTTGCGCAGTGCATACGCCTGTTCCTGTTAACCTGTGAAATCAAGGGCTTCTTTCTTGCAACTCTTCTTTGATAGCCAAGCTATTTCAGAATCATTCGCGCTGCATATGGCGACATTTCCAAGCATTTGAAGACATCTTTGACGATCTGACGACGGTTTCTGGTGACTTCCATCTTCAGAACCCTTTTCGTTAAACTCAGGCACGATGCTTGGTCATCCTGAACGTTGTTCTACACGACAATGGCGTTCTTCATTAAATGTTTTGACAATATTATTAACGGTTTGATGATTAACCTGGAAAAAGCAAGCCATTTCTCTATTTGACTTGCCATACTGATGCCATCCTATTATTTACTCTCGTTGAAATTCACGAACTTTCATTGCAAAATATAAGTCAACTATCATTTATCGAAACCTGTATATGTACATATAAATTTAAGGTATATTTCCGTGGCAATAATTCCCTCAAATATGTTTAAATATGTTTTATAAATATGTTAACTAATATGAACATTTTTTTAAAAATTTAAATTAAAACTTTCAAATTTCCGAATAAATTTTGTGTTATCAGTAAATTTGCCAAAATTCATATTAACTTTTATTTAATATTATTTTTCTCCAGCACTTTTGAATGTTGCTGCATTTATTTTCAAGGAATGTTTGTTGTGTAGTAACGTAACTTGTTTTTAATTCCGGAGTTATCACGTTTGATGGAACAAATTTGAACAAATGTGATGTCATACTGAATTTTTCTTCTGTGTGTGTTTTAATATTACACACACTTCAATATCCGGTCCGATATGGAGAAAGCCACCTTAATTAATATTGGTTCCTTCTGTTTTATTACAAAAATTAATCGTAGAAAAGATTCCTCACCTCCAAAATCTAACTGATGTAAATATAATATCGTATAAGAATTATTATGTCTTTTGAAAGATTGTTTCTCCAACAGTAACAATTAAATTCTTATATTGTCTTCACATGTACCACACTACCTCGTAGATTAACTTGTAATTTGTCAAAACTTAATGCAGTTTTCGCATTAAATAAAGAAAATAATACAAATTTTAGCAGATACCAAAATTTTATACAAGACACAGTGCAAAGACAGACATCAAATCTGCATGCTTCTGATAAATATCATGTTGTTTTTTCTCTTTTTCTGTTTAATGTATATTTTTTGCCCTGTTTATGATGGGTATATTATAGCTTACTTTGATAGGTTTAAGTACTCCTTTAAAATGTCCTCTTCGTAACTGCATCTACAACATCATTTCTGAAAATCTATTTCTGTTTCAGGAAATATGAGTGCAATTATATTCCAACTGGCTTCTCATTTTGAGCCCTTGCCTATTTTATTACATCATTCCTACTGGAAATTGACTTAATCTTTCATGAATGGTCTTTGTTTAGGCCTCAAACCTCTTAAAATCTACGCAATTCCCAATGCTAATGGACACTGTTCAACACGCTTTTATTTTCAATCTCGTCTCCATCTTGCACGATTTCATGCGTTGTAATAAAAATTCTTGTATACTGTTATGTATATCTGGTTTTCCAATATTTTAGCTGATTGGATGTATTTACCTTTTTTGTAATGGGCATTTTAAACTTATAACTCGAATCAATTAGTATGTCTAAAAATGGGATTCTGTTTTTGAAGTTGAGTTGATATGTGTAGTTAATAACTGTTATTTTGAAGGATTTTTCTGTTTTTGAATCATTCATATTTCTAGCGGGTGTAAGTTTTCTAATTTAGTGCATATTTGTCTTTAGTTTTATTTCTCGACTTTTACTTGTAACATTTTGATAGTACTGGAGTGAGAGGTCAGCCCATAGAGACGCCATCAGTCGATGTGTACATATTTGCTAAGTGGTCATAAAATGAAAATTGTCTGCGCAACTAGCAGATTATCGAAAGTTGTTGGATTATTTTTGGCGATGGAAATGATCAATGTTTATAAACATTATTAATTATAATGTCTATTGCAACACTGACATGTAAGTTGGTGAATAAATTTCGACGTCCAACGAGGAGAGTACGCAGTTATTTGGTTTATTGCTTTTGAGATACCGAATAAACACAATGGATATATATATACCCAACTGCAACAACCCTAAAATAGAAATACTGATAAGAAATAATGAATATAAAAAAATGAAATACTTGATAATGCATTATGAAAGATCAAATTGCTCAAAAGACAGAAATTTCATCCTGTAAGCAAAAATAAAAATACCCGAGCTTTAAAAAAGCTATTGATATCTATCTCTATCTATCTATCTGTCTATCTATTCTCTTAATATCTGTCTATGTCTCGATGTATCTGTCCTACTTTCTTAATACCTATCTATCTATCTATCTATCTATCTATCTATCTATCTATCTATCTATCTATTCCATTCTCTTAATATCTATGTGTCGATGTATCTGTCCTACTCTCTTAATATCTATCTATCTATCTATCTATCTATCTATCTATCTATGTATATATATATATATATATATATATATATATATATATACATTCATATGTATGTATATATATTATATATATGTTCTAATCTATCTATCTAACTTTTGCAGTTATGCAATTTGGCTTATGCATGAAATTAATATGCAAAATAAACACCTGGTTGTTGGTCATTCAAGTACATTGCTTAAAGGATGATGCCTTACGAAAATAGACTAGTGTCAACAAAATGCTTGTAAAAATTTTCCCAAGTAAAAATATTTATTATACTCGAATGATGCTGGTGATAAGTACCGTTGCATTCGGACAATTCATGGCTTATACTGAATACAAATATGTTTATTTGTAATTATCACTTTATTTACATTTAATGTCATCGAGAAATATCCGAAAATAATTGCCCTCTTCGATGAGCGTATTAAGCACATGAATAATATTGCACTTTGCAAATAATCATCCACAAACCAAGTAACCATTGGACTATTTTCTTTATATAATATGGATCCATAAGACACAAGGAAACTTATTTAAAGACAAGACACTGAACTCAGTGAAAACTAAATTTCCTGTGGAAAATCTTTGCATACATTTATTATTTCCATAGACATAAGTAAAAAAAATCAGTTTGTGGCATAATTATGGCCTTTATAAGGATATTTATGAGAACAGGGGATTTCGGATTTCAGTGTATTGCTGAATTTATACTGATTTCAATACATACATACATACATACACATATACATACATACATACATACATACACACACACACACACACACACATATATATATATATACAGGGTGTTTCAAAAAGAATACGCCAAAATCATCACGTGATATGTCAAAAACGAAAAAAATTACAAACCTCTAGCATGAATACATGTGTTATATATACATTCAATACATTCAAGTTTCATTTCATGTTTTATAAGTGCTCAATGTGGCCACCACCGGCAGCGCGGATAACATCAAGCCGATATGAGAATTTCTCCCAAACGCGCCTCAGCATGTCACGGTCCACCGTGTTGATTGCAGCTGTTATTCGATTTTTCAAGTCATCGATACTTGCTGGAAGTGCTGGAACATAAACTTGGTCTTTAACATACCCCCACAAGAAAAAGTCACACACAGTGAGGTCCGGGGATCTGGCAGGCCAAGCACAGGGAGTAAGGTCTTTAGCATCTCTCCTCCCAATCCATCGCTGAGACACGTTTTCATTCAGATAAGCTCTAACCCCGAGATGCCAATGGGGTAGTGCTCCATCTTGCTGAAAAATGAAGTCATTCGAATCTGCTTGCAGTAAAGTGAATAGCCATTTTTGGAGCATTTCGAGATAGGTTTGTCCTGTTTGTAGCTGCACCGGAAGTTATACCAAAGACAGCGGTGAAACTGACACCCAATCAAACTTTGATAACTACTCTATCAAATAACCACTAATTCAGTCCACTACAATGCTATAGACCCGAAAAAACAGTGTAGTGATTTTGGCGTATTCTTTTTGTTACACCTATATATATATATATATATATATATATATATATATATATATATATATATTGTTCACCCGATACGAGGTTAAAGAGGTACTCAAAGTAGAATGTCAGTAAATGAAATTTCCAAGTGGGTGCCCGAGAGGGCAGGAGGATTTTAAAAGGTTAAGATTGTAGTGATTGGGGAAACATTTCTCGGGGTTGTGGTAAATCTAAATGGAACTATCTCATCATCAATACTTTCTGTAGTGAATAAGAAGTTTCATCACTGTGTTCTATAATATACAAATCTTGAGTTGCCTAATAAAATATCACGCTATCAAATAGTTACGATTTTGTTAGTTCGATACATTAAGAAATCAATCAACTGTTGTTATTTCATGTAGCATGTCTCTTCAGAACGTGTAAGGTTAGATATCTCCACACTTTCTTAAGCTTTTTAGTTCGAAGTAATTTTCATTTCCTTCACTATCTCTCCTAGTCCCTGTTCTGCCGTCCATGAGGAAGGTTGTTCTATGTTTCCTTTTCACTCTTTCTTCTTTCATGTGCCACGTGAGTGATTAATGTCGCCATTATGTATTCAAGATGTTTCATCTCTTTCTGATACTAAATAGAAATCTCAGTTTTGTTCATTTTTTCCTTAATCTTTCCTCGTTACTCGCTTATTATATCTATAACACTCCCAGCATCCTTCTGTGGAACCATATCTCTGTTACCAGAAGTCTTCTGTTTTTTTAAACCTAAACAATATATAAACAATAACGTATCTTATAAGCATAAAACAAGCACATTTATAATTGTTGTGAGACCGTAACATACCTACAACATGGACTCTTCCAGGACTATATAAAGTATGCGACATAACACTCTAGAGGAGAAGAAGAAGAGGAGGAGGGGGAGGAGGAGGTGAGAGAGTGAGAGAGAGAGAGAGAGAGAGAGAGTATTCTAATATCATAGTATCAGCCGCGTACGACTACCAATATTGGACACTAGCACATAGTAAGTTCCGCTTACACTTACACTATCTTTGTAACCTTTTTGTTTAATATATCTTTCTTACGCCCCTCCGTGTTCCGGGTTTTCCTTCCGTGGTCCCAACTTTGGGTCCACATCGATAATAAAACTGGAAATCCCCCTGTAAATGTCACGGTTTTCCTATTTAAATAGTGATGAATGTTAATTCTTATGTTAATGAAGAAATAAACTTATGGCGGATTTTAAGAATATAAAATATCAGTTTGAACTTCACTATCTTTTCGTTGAGAATAATAATAGCAGTTGCAATAACAATCATAAATATCAATGCTGGTCGTCATTTTAAGAAGTGGGTAGAAATTAAATGATTTTAACTTTTTATTTCTCTGAAATGGACCTTAAACACTTCTATCTTCCATTTCTTTCTTTCTTTCTTTCTTTCTTTCTTTCTTTCTTTTCTTTTCTTTTCTTTCTTTCTTTTCATTTTCTCAATGAAACTAAGTCTTTTCCTTCTCTTTCCACGTGATCAAAAACAGAATAGTCTATTATTTATGTGTTATTGCAGGAGACGTTAAATATCTTTCCTCATTTCTTTGATTTTTTTTCTTCTTGCCAAATCATTGTCTTCCGAACATTTCTCTGAATAATACTTTTAAAATAATTCGATGTTATTTTACTTACTCTATTGTAGTTGGATTTTTGACTATTTCCTTTCTCTGTTTCCGCTGTTCGATACTGTGTCGGGAAAATGGCATTTTTATCGCGGTCACCATTACTTCTTGACCTTTTTCCTGAGATCTGTTCTTATTTGTTTAATATGATTCTCTCACCACTTATATCTTAAATTCTTTTTCTTTAATTTTCTCACTGAAGCCAAATAACGTAGTTTTCCCGCTTTCCACACGATCAAAACACAGAATAGGCTATTGAAGTATTGACAGGTCGTACTAATTAGTAAAGTTAGAAATCACTTATAAGACTAAAAAATATACTGAAACTTCTTAAATTAAATTGATATTATTCAATTAGATATTGTATCGATATCACTTATCGGCTGATATCTTGTTATGGCCACAACAGCAGGATATTACATGAATTGTTTTGCCAATTATCGCCATGATACAGCAGATGAGTTGCTTGGACCGGAACTCCCGAGAATCTGGTCAACCGAAACTGACAAAGAAGCTCAGCTGAGTGAAACCAGAACCAGGATTCTTGATGATTTACAGCAGACAAAATCTGACAGGAAATGTCTGTTTTCCATAAGACAGTGGTCTCTAGCAGCCTAAACCAGAGAACCTCTCACCACGAGAATGGGAGAATACGATGGTTAGACCGTTCGTTCCCACACATCAGTTTACTTTTGCTCGCTAGCTGGTCTTTACGAGAAGGTTGCAACAGTATAATATTTGCTGGCTGCTAAAATTTCGTCTTATTTTTCTTGTATTAAGCTCAAAGCGGTCGATTGGAAGAAGCCGTACCCTGCAAACGAATCTAGGGTTTGGTCTGAGCAGCAACACCGGAATATTATTTTTTCGAATGCTTACTTTAAACTGTTATTACTATCTTTAAGTTTTCTCTTTTGAAACTCTTGTTAAACGATATATTTTCGACTTTCTGCCAGTGAAAACCTTCGCTATAAAAAGTGTGAAAAACTCATGAATCATGCGGGCTTCAATAATCTGATGACTGATGTCTGAGTGTCAAAAGGAGAAAATATCCGAAAAGAGGAACTATCGAATTTTTTGTTCTTTCTGTTTCCTTTCATTGGGGGGGTTAGACAATGTAAAAAAAAATGAATGCTACTTTTTAGTTCAAGACTTACTAGGCAGCGAACATGTATAGCATCTCTGACATTGTTCCAACAAGAAAACAAAAATCTATATTCTCTTCCTTTTTCTGATCATTCAAATGACGGTGGGATTGCAAAATCTGCACTTAAGCCGAGGGGCTTCGATAAACAGCAGGCACGAAAGCACGTTCGATGTTTGTTATATTGAAAATACGTTAAGAGCAGTTATGTCAGAATTTTTCACTACAGATCAATAATTCCGCAAACAGAGTTCGACGGATGTTTACTAAGACTGTTGGAATATCGATTTTATTCTTTCGTTCTTTGAAGTTTTTTTTTTTGTTCCCAGTCTACAGAGTTGGGAATCACATTTGGATTGACGCAAAATCAACTACTGAAAGACTAGCTCAAAAATAATAATACTAATCAAATGTAAATTCAGAAGATCATGAAGCTGCTAAGAGAAAGTTTTATTATCTAATATCATGTCTTATTTCAATTCAGAAGAGATTGGCGTCGAATGAAAGAGAATGAATTATAAAGAAAGAGAATCAAGATGAAAAAATAGTGTCGACGTCTTTGCACAATTAAATGAAGTTGACACAAATGAGAAATAAAATTTATTCAATAATTAATAATGACATAAATCCTGCAAAATTAATGTTATAAAATCATAAGCAAACATATCACTCTTTCTCTGTCTCTTTCTCTCTTTCTCTCTCTCTCTCTCTCTCTCTCTATATATATATATATATATATATATATATATATATATATATAGTATAGCATCCCTAATAGGAGATATGATGCAAGCTTTCGAGCTTTTACAAAAGAACTTCGCCATGCTTGCAAATTCAAACTTGACCCATACGGGCGAGTTATAAATTTGAGTAACAATAAATTTTCACTCAATACATTCAGGGTATTAAATAAAGGACTAAGCTTTTGTCCTAGTCCC